AGTTTGGAGAGAATTCAAGATGTAATCAATTCATGATGACGGTTGCCAAGAAACTAAGTAATTAGATCTGGTATGTTACGGAAGAAAGGAGATGGTCAGTGGGTTTTATTGCTGTCAAATATGGCAGGATTTAGTCTCCATGCAGCACTTTTCATGTTTCAATTTCTAAACACCTATTAGCTCTTTATAAAATGCTTTTTAATGAATCGTCTTTCGTCCAATGACCTTTGAAGATAGACTCCAACCCCTCTGCAACCCTTCAAGTATAAGCAGGTATGGATGGAGAAAACCGCTCATGCAGATTAGCTCTTCCACTATTGTTTAACATGGGGAGCTGTGTTAAAGTGTTCAAACATTTTTTTTCAGACATGAACTGCCACAGTAGCACCAGATAGCATCCTAACCCTGTTGGTTTGTAACCTACTACAGCAGCAGGCCCTGCAAGGCAAGGTGGAGACAAAACTTCCTATGAGAACTTCTTACTTTTTTATGATCACATTTAAAAATAAGAATTATGTTACAAGATCAACGTTTTTTTTTTAAATCAAAAGTAGATATGTGTGCAATTTTGGTACGGTTTATTAAGCTTAATTTAAATAATTTATTAAACATTTATTCTTTATGTATATAAAAGTCACAAACACATAAGGCATAAACTTAATATTCTAAAACTCAAAATGATTCTTCTCGATAAATAGGCTGTAAGGCTGATTTAAAGAGTTTTGTTTTGCTTTCACAAACAGACAAAGTTATGAATTATAAAAGAATTTGATTCTCTTTTTTTATTGTATTTTACATGTTACTGCTTGCTGCCAAGATATGTGACATTAAAACTGAACTACTCACAGACTTAAAACAGCCCTTTCTTTTAATTTGGTTATAAACTGTCAAGGAAAAATATTCTCCCTTCAATTAAATGCTCCAGTTCTGTATGGCTGCTTGATTATTTTAATTTTCTTCAATTTCTATGTTTTATTCATAAATAATCTAGGTTTATAATATCCGATAGGAATATTCTCAATACCTTTACTGCATTTATTTTAAAGAAGTCATTAATGTCGGATGTGTATTTTCAAAATTCAAAAGCATACTACTGGTAAATGTGATTTATGTGGAAAATATGAAACAATAGAACATTTTATACTGGAATAGTTTGAATGTATTAAGGAAAAGATTAATTTATCAGATATTTTGAGAAAGAATTTGGGGAGTAAACATATAGAAATACAGTTATTAGCTTTTTAACGAAAACTAAATAATTTCATAGAATTTGATCATAGAGAGGATGAATGTGT